CTGGTGTGATTTTTAGTGTGAAAAATATCACAGTTTTGTGATTATTACCCACAGAAATATATAAAAAAACAGAACATTAAAGTACTAAAAAAAATTCAAATATTATTTACGAAAAGTGGGTGCCCCATTGGATCCCTCCATCGGTGTTGATTACGCATAGTTTCGGCCCTGTCGGACAGAGAGAAGCGAGCAGCGAAGGATATGGCGGCAAAACGTCGTGTGCATGTTGCCGTCGATCATTTTCTCGATCTACTCGAAATGTATATCGTTTTGACACTTTTACCGGGCCGTTTCTTCTTCAGAAATGTCTACAGAGTCCGATCCTGAGTAGAGTTTTTGTGCAGGACAAACAACTTTTCGTAAAAGTACAAAAATATTTCGCAGAAACTGCGCACGTCGACAATTTTTTAAACTTTGACATTAATTTTTTGCTACTTAGGACCAAAAACAATTAATAAATTGCATGCCACTATATTCCGGAAACTCTCCTCTATCTTTTAACACCGATTAGAACTTTCTAACGTTTTTACTTTTCATACAATACCTCATTTGTGTCGAAAATTTTGGGTTTTTACAAAAGCTCGTTTTGTTCGAAAACCGAGGGTGATGGAGCAATTCGGTTCTCGGATCCTCGATCGGGGAGTGAAGCTCTACAAGAATTTCATAGTGGCTATAGGAAATCAAAAATCGTGTCGGACAGTGTAATTGTCGAATATGCCCGAAGCGTTTAATGTTCACAAATCGAACAAGATCAAGGAAACAAAAACACAATTTAAAAGACACACGTAAAAATTTTATTTCAAGAAAACCTTTCCATGAAAATCAGGCTGACAGGGCACATCTAAAGCCAAGATTTCCAGCTGAAGAGTCAGGGGTATTTTGACTTCTGGCGGCACACCTGTATCTAAAATAATAGCTCTCGTGACAAAGATAGGATCCACCTTTTTTTACTTTGTCTGTTCCATCAGGTGGTCCGGTCTAGAAATGTATTACGTGAATAAATATCGTCGAGTTGTAAAGGAGAAGCGAAAATGCGAATTAAAACATACAGGATTCGTAGACCCGCCCCCCTTTTCGCGGCATCGATCGTCCACCAATCAGACGTCCGTTCCCACACGTTTCCTATCACGTTGCACAACCCATATTTGTTCGGCGGGAATTCTGTAACTGGCGCAGTACCAACGTATCCATCTTCCATGGTATAATATTATCATTTGGAAAGTCACCCTGTCAGGTGTTTTTGCTCTAAAATTCGTTGAGACTTTCATCGTAACATCTCAAAGTTTTAACTTGCAATTGCTCGTTCAGTTTACCTGTGTTTACCATTCGGAATGAACTTATTGTCCCACGGATATAACCTATCGGAAAGCCCGCCACGACAGGCCACTTTTCCCATTCCACTTCAGTAGGTAATCTTTTTCCTAGCCATTTACAATACGCAGTAGCATCGTTCCACGATGCGTGTACAACGGGATGATCCATCCTGTCTGGATCGTTCGATTTAATCTGTTCCTATTATGAACACAGAATATACGGGAGGCAAAACTTTTAAAAAACACAGATTAGTACCTATTATAACAAATGAAAAGAAAAAATATCCTCACCGTAGATGCAGAGTATGCTCTGCAAATAAAAAATCGGGTTATACCCGATTGTAGCGCCGTGCTTTTACGGCGCCCTTTTTTGACGCGCGGGGATCGAACTTCAACCCTACCGGGGTTGTAAGGCCCGGGCTTCACTGTTTGAAGACGCGTCGGTTTGTAATGGTTATCGGTCCGATATTGACCGATTTCGAATGAACGAATCGAATGAGTTCCCGAGTCGAATGAGTCTCCGGTTGCGACGAGTGAGTCTCCGAACGATTGAGACTGTTTGAAACGCACGAGTGAGACTCCGGATCGAGAATATATGTTAGTGAATGTGACTGTAATAATAATACTACTCGCCTCGACTGCTCGCGTTTTTTATACATTTTTCCCCACTTGAGATTCTTGAAAGAACCTCCACCTCCATGCCGGGATGCACTGATTGGTTTTCTCAAAAATTATGATTTCCCAATCAGCGTCCTCCAAACCGTTTCGTCACCACCCTCTCGTACCGACCTGCACGAGCCTTGTCTTGGAGAGGGGTGCGACACGTAATTGCGTGGTCGGGGAGGTCCTCTGGGCCTTGAGAAGTCATCCCCGCGACGGTTGGGACTAACTTTCCCAAGACGCGTTCAAAAATCTCAAGTGTTATTGCGGGATTCTTTTTCGGGCCTTTTGGATTTACGACGCGTCGCGATCATTAAAAAAGACGGAGACACTGCCCAGATGTTCGGCAGCTGCAGAAAAAGGTCTCCGTCTCCTCAGATGACCCACGCTTGTCCGTGCCATAAACCCTCAAGCGAGAGAGATCTGCGGGAGGTCCTACGTGACGGAACACCGATATATTTGCGAATTTTGTAATGTGCCATTACATAAACTACGATGTTTTGAACGATACCACACAAAAGACAATATCAGAATATGTTACCAGCCAGTCGGATCTGGCTGGTGGACAGTTTAGACCCGATCTCGGACGAACAAGGGTCACGGATCCAGCCATGACGCGGGTTACGGCCCAATCTGATAGATTCTCGATTCTCATGGAAAATCATCTACGGGCTCTGGAGCTAGCGTCCAAGAAACAAGGCTGGCTTCTTGGATACAAATCAAAACTTTCACTAGAAAACAAAATTTTACTTTACAAAGCTATTGTCATACCGATATGAACCTACGGACTAGAACTCTGGGGAAGTGCCAGCAAAACCAACATAGCCATCATCCAAAGAACACAATCCAAGGCACTTCGCACAATTATTAACGCCCCTTGGTACGTTACCAATGAAACAAATCATAATGATCTTGGTATACCCTTCGCCGTTGACACCATCCATGAAAGAAGTAGGAAGCACTTCACTAAATTAAGCGAACACACAAATCCACTAATTATGCCACTCATACAACAACAATACAGCAGGAGATTAAAAAGAAGATGGCCAATCGACCTTAAATGAGGTTCAGGAGGACTTTTCATTGGGAAAGCCCTCATCATGTTATTAACGGACTATACATCAAGTCCCCAGCGATCACATCGGCCCATAGAATTTGTATTCTGATTGCTGATTTCTAATAAAATAAATAAAATAAAGAAACAAGGAGGCACAGAGACAAAGCTGGATCGAGCGACGGTCGGGGGAGTGCAGGATTGCGACAGGCTCTCCAGCCAACGAACGAACCGATGGACAACAGCCAATGAACGACAACGAACCGTTGGAAAAGGGAAAGAGCCACCCCAAGTCGGGGGGAACCACAGGACACCCAAGTCTAGGAGGGAGAAGAGAGACCACAGGCTGGGCCTCGGAACGGTATTTAATAATAATAGCGACTGATTGTTTGAAATCATGACCCCAACAACATAACAATAACCTAATGAATTCATATCACGTTGGTATATGTATTCGAAACTAGTCACGACAATATATTACGTGACAAAAAATTAGGAATGTGCTGTAGAGTGGTAAAGGAAAGACTTCACAAATCAGATTGGATAATACTAATGGATTCTATTCATAATCCATTAGAATTATCCAATCCTATTTGTGAGATCTCCTCTTTTTTATGCATATTTTATGCATATCTATTTTGTGATTGGCTAGTTCTTCGTTATGTATAGATACATATTCGTTACATGTGCGACCGTTTCTGCTCACAAAAATGGGGCGCTAGTGTTGCATTACCAGTTTCGTATCGCACTCGTCGCGTTACCGATATTTCAGAAAATTCAGCTTCTTAGTAAGAATCGAGTATTTTCTATACCTCATATGTATTACGACGCGTTTCATAAAAATTAAATTTTATATTATGTCAAATTAAGATTTTATAAAGTGTGAACAATGTGTAGGACATCTCTAAAAGAGATGCTATAGATCGTATGCAAGAGATTGTAAATTTATCATTTGTAAATGACGTCTCTATATTTATTATTAATATTTCGTTGAAAATATTTATATTATAATTAAACGAAAAAATAAATTCGTTGAAAATAATATTACTTCATTCCAAATAGATATAAAATCGTGATATAATAAATGAAATATAAAATATTATATCGTATGCACCTTGCAAAAATCTAGGCAGAAATCACGTCTGTTGGTTGGGTTGCCACTACAAAGGGGTCACTCCATAAGAGAAGATCACAATGTACACTCGCATGATTTTGTGCTTTTTGCTTACAGAAGTTTGTGAAACATCAGAACAATTTATAGACACTATTATGCAATACCAACGTTTTGCAATTAACCCTTTGCGGTCGTATTAAGTTTATACATAGGTGTCAAGATCAGTATGGTTATATGACCGCAAAGGGTTATTACGAATTGTTTACCACTTTACAGTGTAGCGGTTAATAAATACTTAAATACACCACATATCTTGAAAAACTCGGAGGGGGTGTCCTATCATTTTGTTGCGGAGTGTATAAGCAAAATGAGTAACAAAGACAAGAAAATCGTGAACTGCATACTTTTATTCTACGTTGGCATGTTCTGTTTCTTTTCTAATTATTTTATTCTGATTTTTTATTTTGTA